GCGGTCCGAAGACGTGCACCGGAGTTGATAGCTCCGGCTGCACCCACGCCTCGAGAACTAAAGCCTCTATCGCAACTTGATCATCAGCCAGAGCTTCGGTTCCAACTCCAAGCACTTCACTTTTATCGTAGCCACCCAAAAATGGGGAACAAAAATCCAGCCRCCGTCATTAGGGATGCTTTAGCAAAGGTACTGGTCTACTATTACCCTTTTGCTGGCCGGTTAASAGAAGCTCCCACACAGAAGCTGATGGTGGATTGTACCGGCGAGGGTGTGTTGTTTATCGAGGCCGAAGCCGATGTTACGTTAAAGCACTTCGGGGTGAGTCTTCATCCCCCGTTCCCTTGTTTAGAAGAGCTCCTTTACGACGTTCCCGGCTCTAATGGCGTCGTCGACTCGCCATTGCTATTGATTCAGGTCAACTTTTATRTATCAACATCATACYGTATCCTTTTTACGTTGCATKATTTGACCTAAAAAGGGTTCATTTCACGATACCCATATTTTTTTATCGACAGGTGACACGTCTCTTATGTGGAGGCTTTATCTTCGCTTATCGTATCAACCATACCATGTGCGATGGACCAGGAGTGATRCAGTTTCTGACTGCATTAGGTGAAATGGCACAAGGCGCGTCTTCGCCGTCAGTATTGCCCGTGTGGCAAAGGGAACTGCTTTTCGCGAGCGAACCACCACGTGCGACGTTCGCTCATCACRAGTACGACGTAGTGGGAAAAACCAAGGCTATCAACGACATCGTAACGAAAGACTTGATCCAGAAATCGTTTTTCTTCGGACCTAACGACGTATCAACCCTTCGTCGTAGGTTTGTTCCCGAACACCTACAACGTTGTTCCACGTTCGAGGTGATCGCAGCTTGTGTTTGGCGTTGTCGTACCATCGCTTTACAGTTCGATCCTAACGAGGAGATGAGTTTCTTGTTTCCCTTCAATATACGCGACAAGCTCAACCCCAGTCTCCCTGTTGGGTACTACGGTAATGCTTTCATACTACCATCTGTAGTTTCAACGGCGGGTGACTTATCGATTAAGCCATTAAGCCATGTGCTGGAGTTGGTGAGGAAAGCCAAATCTTTAGTGTCTGAAGAGTACGTCAGATCAACGATTGACTTAATGGCTATCAAAGGGCGACCATTGTTGACAGTTCCTCGTAGCTACATACTCTCAAATGTTGCAAGACCGGGGTTCAGTGAGATCGATTTTGGGTGGGGGAAAGCAGCCTACGGTGGTCCTGCTACGGGAGGACTCGATGCCATTCCGGGACTCTTTTATTTCTACACGCATTCGACAAACGAGAAGGGTGAATCAGGAGTCGTGGTATCCATGTACTTGCCAAAGGCTGCAATTGAGAAATTTGTCAAAGAGCTTAATAACATGTTGATGCAAGATAATGATAATCAAACACTATCAAAGATCTGAGTGAGGAAGGTGACTACTTTTACTTGGTTAAATGTTTACCAAGTAAATTGTTGCATATGATGTGATTCCGTTTTGATGTACTACAATCTTATCCGATAAAATAAATTATGGTGGTGACTCCGATAAACGCTTACTCGATAAGCATTTGAGTAACCCTAAATGATCGAACATGCATCTTATTACCAATGTGAGATGATGAAACTCAACTACATTTCAGAGAATTACTCAATTCTTTTGTTGCACAAAGTCATCATCATTGATTTCTCCTTTAATATATCTAGATACAAGTCACTAAGCATGAGACATTAAAAGGGGGGTTTACCACCACCTACCCCCCCCCCCCCAAAAAAAATACCTACGACATTGAATGTAGCTAGGTGTTTATGTTTAAACGAAATAAATGAAAATGAAAACATATGAAAAAGACTAACAAACTCACAAAAGAAAATTGAAGGTCTATGTAAATAAGAAAGCAAATTACGATTGAAATTGTAATATAACTTTGAATATAGTAAATTAGTTTATTTAATGTCTAATATACATATATTAATCAAGGACTTAACAATCATATTAAATYCATAGTATTTAAAGACATCAGATTCATCGAGTTGGGTATAAATCAATTGTTCGGTCGTGGTGGGATTTTTTTTTGGCAGGGTAACAATTTTAAAATAGAATGAGTTTGCTTTTGCTTTTTCTCTTTCGTGAGCACGGGACTGATTATTAATTTCAATTTTAAAATCTTTACATTTTTAACATTTAGGGTTGAGTTCATGTGAGACCAGACTGTTTTCATAAGATCCGTGATACAACTTTTTATACTTGAAACTTCACAACAAAAACACTATGAAGGTTACCTTCACAACGTTTTGCTGTGAAGTTTCAAGTGTAAAAAATTGGACTCACGAAAAAATGTTTGTCTCACACGATCCCAAGTCTTAATACCTATGTAAAAACACATTGGCAATTATTTACTCTCGAGTAAGATACACTGATCATTGAATTCTCAATCCTCTCACCAAGTCAATCTTCAAGTCAAGATTTTAAGAATCAGTGTTTGTTATTTTGTCTAAAGTTATAACTTTTGACTACGAGAGATGTCAAAATACGGACTTTTCGAGAAATTCAAAGTAACATTTTGATTAATTATTTAGTAACAAGRTCATACAATACAACAAAATTAGAGAATCGATCACGCARCCACTTAATTATACATATACACATAAGATTTTATAAACAAAATCCTCTTAAAAGCGTATTTTCTAATCGTAAGTTGAATCAGAACGTGCGAACTATAACCTTGAAAGGACGAATTGGTCGTTTTCTTGGCGAACGTGGTCCTTTTTGTTTTGCATCAACATGTTATTTAGTTCCTCCACGAATATCTTCATCGCTGTGCTCGGAAGACACATGGGTACCACGATTCCAGACTCCCCTTTGTGGTTTACAAACGGAATATAGAAACTAACAATGCCGGGGATAGCGCCTACTCCGCCTTTGGCAGGCCCGCTATAGGCAGCTTTCCCCCACCCGAAGTCGACTTCATCGAATCCGGCACGGGTCACATCTGACACGACGAAGCTTCGCACAGCTGCAAAATGGGGTCGTCCTTTGAGGACCATTAGGTCAGCCAATGATCTCATGTACTCTGCATTGACGTCGTTTTTGGCCTTCATCACCTTCTCTAACGCGTGGCCTAATGGTTTGTTCGTTAGGTCTCGTGCTGTGGAAATGGCAACAGGGAAGGCGAAACCGTTTCCGTAAAATCCTTTGGGGAGGGGAGGGTCGAACTTGGCACGTGCGTTGACGATGCATATAATACGCATCTCCTCTTCAGGATCTGGCTGAAGAGCGATAGTACGACAGCGCCAGAGGCACGCTGTCAGCACCTCAAAGGTGGAGCATTTTTGCAAGTTTGTTGGAACAAACCTACGAAAGGCTGCCACCTCTGCTGGTCCAAAGAAAAAGGACYTGTGGGCCATGTCATCCAATACGATAATTGTACCTTTGGTATCTTCCACTACATCATACTCACGATGAATGCATGTTACACGTGGTGGGTCCCTTGCACAAAGCAACTCTCTTTGCCATACGGGCAACGTCGATGGTCTTGACGCGCCCTGTGCCATTTCACCCAACCCTGTCATGAACTGTACGAGTCCGGTTGCATCACTCATCGTGTGGTTGAGTCGTAGAGCGAAGATGAAACCCCCACATAACAATCGCGTCACCTATTAATAAAAACCAATTACCATACGTTAATTATCATATCAACAAATCATTCAGYAACTGTCAAACAGCCCTGAGTTTAAGTAATTTTAAAAGGTACATCATAATTATTGAAGGTCGGACAAATTACTATTTTTTTGATGTGATAGCTCTTGTATAATAATGTTCGATTGAGGAAAGGCATTTTAAACGTAAAAAAGACTAATCGATATAAATCTATACTATATTATAAAGTTTTTGACAAAAACTACTAAAACTCACTTTTTATGCGTAAAATACTGTTTATTAATGCATATTATTTAAAACTCAATATTACAAGTRGATTGTGCGTAAGTACAACTTATTAAAGATTCATATCTGAATTGTGTAACTAACTGCAGACACTACTAAAAAAAGGGTATAACCGATGGATTTTTCTGGCTGAATTTCCGTCGGAAATTTTCCCGACGGATCCCAAAAAAGTCAAAAAAATTCAACTTTTATCCATATCCGCCACAGATCCCCCACTAAATTTTTTGGAAAAAAAATTAAAATTGTTTAAAACGGTTTTTCAACGGATTTGTGACGGATTTTTTACTTATTCAAAACCTTCACAAATCCGTCGCAAAATTTGCCTAATTTATTTAAATAATTTAATTAGCGTTAATTACAAACAATTTCCGACGAAATTTAATTTTTTAAAAAACAAATCGATTTCCGTCGGAAATCTTTCGGAAATTGTTTTTGATTAACGGTAATTGAACTTTTATATATATATATATATATATATATATATATATTTTGTAAGAAAAAATTCTTTTAAAATTTCCGACGGATTTCCGACGGAATTTAAATTTTAATAAAAATTAAATTCCGTCGGAAATTTTAAACCTTTATATATAGATATCTTGTTTGAAAAAAATTTAGAAAACATTTTTTAAAATTTCCGATGGATTTTCGACGGAATTTAAGGAAAATTTAAACCTTTATATATAGATATCTTGTTTGGAAAAAAATTTAGAAAACATTTTTTAAAATTTCCGACGGATTTCCGACGGAATTTAATTTTTATTTAAAAAAATTAAATTCCTTCGGAAATTCGTCGGAAAGTTTAAACGTTTATACACACACACACACACACACACACACACACACACACACACACA